CACACCAAAATGTATGCTAGCGCAATTCCTAACGGTGGACGCAGAATGCTTTGTCTTTGAAAGGAAGCAGTATGGTCTTAAGATGTAAATGTATATATATATATATATATAAATCTTTATAACTTTTTTCCGTCACTGCCGAAAAAATCTAAAAAAAACTTGTTATGGACATAAAAATAATTTAAGGAATTTGAAAAAATTGTTAAAAAAAATTTTAGACGCAATTTTGGGCCGACCAACATGCGAAAAACCAAATCAGAATACTTTTTCTATCATTTTCTATTTTTATTTGCAGTACAACCCAGGCATGGGCCCAGCGTATCACCAACAAGCTCCATATCATCTGCAAGGATCATACCAGCAACAGTACCCGCCTAAAACCTCCCTCCGACCTCCTCCAGGGTTTTATCCGCCCCTACCTCTCCCAAGTAGACCACCTTCCGTGGATACCTCAACGCCGACAACTACACCGTGTCCACCACCTTCAGCGCCCTCAAAAGCGATCGACTTTTACGAAGCTTACAATCAAAGATTAATGCAACAGTTGCACGATAATTAAAATGGGCCTGAGGGGCTGTGACAGGATATTCTATTCAGATCCCTTTTATTCCTCGTCAGAGCAAACACTAACGCGTTATCGATAAGAGAGTAGAATAGGGTTTTCTTTTGGCGAAACTGGTGTTGCACTGTTATGTTTATGTTCTTTTGGTGCGTGCTTTGAATTAGTTAATGCAAAATATCGCACGAACTGGACGAGCTCGTTCTAGTGTAGTCAACTGGCAACAGTGTCTCATTTTACAGCTTTGCGAGCAACCATGCTTTGCAGCCAGCTTTCTCGTGTTTTTTCTCATTGAGCGTGCACACCACGAAAAACTACGGCCAATGCTGCTCGTGCTGTAAAATGACCTCAAATTTGACGCCTGGAGTACCAGTGGTGCTTTGACAGCGCTGCCATGTTGTAGGTTTTTTCCTTAGTCGTGGGGAATTTTTTGAGGATATAATGTTCTGGGGGAGATCACTCGTTTCGCGCATAGAAAGCATCCCCCCATTCTTTGAAGCAAAACTACCTCTTTCCATAATTAACTGTGATTGGTGGATTTTTTTTTGGGGAAAATGTGTCTAACACATTTGGCGACGCTGTGCTTTGACAGATCCGCCATATGAACACTTTTCTCCTTTTGTATATTCTGCATTTTTAATCTCTTGTATCGTCGATATCGATAAATATCGATATTTTTAGTTGTCGATATATCGATATTTATCGGTTTTCCGATATATCGTTGCATCCCTAGTCCGGCCACTTGAACCTACCTGCATGTATCTGTTTTTTACACCTAATTTTGATGAATGATAAATAATACTAGAGCATATTACAGGAGCATTGCCTCTGCCAGGTAATCTATTCTACAATTATTTATCATTAAAGTTTTATCAAAAAACAGAAACATGCAAATTGAAGTGGGCGGACCTTAGGCTCTTAGGAAAGTGTCTGTCAAAGCATAGCATTGCCAAAAGGGTTGGACAGAATTTTTGAATCTGTCAGAATTGCTAATTTTCAAAAAAAAATACCCGAATCAAAGGTAATTGATGGAAAGGGGTATGTTTGGTTCAAAGAGCGCAGGAGTGCTTTCCATCTGCGAAACGTGTGATTTAAACCAGAACAGTATATCCCCAAAAGATTGTGGAAATCCTCCAAATTTGGGGAAGATCCCCCAACATGGCAACCCTGTCAAAGCACCACAGGTGCTCCAGGCGTCATGTTTCGCGGTCGTTTTTATAGCACGGACAGTATTGCCGTAGTTTCTCCTGGTATATCGGCTTCACGGACAAGAAATTAAAGAACACTTTTCATTGGGAGATGACGGTACGAGACAGGAAATGATAACGTTCTATGTCCTCTTCGGGACAAATTTAGGATAAACTTGGCAGAGAGTTTCAAACGAGGAAAGAGCACCAGCTTTATCAGAAGAAAAGGTTAGAAGTATTTGCAAGTTCAAGGATCTAGTGTTCACGTGGGGATAAATCAGATTTGAATTGAGTTTATGTACGTTGTATGGTTGAAGCTTAGGTCAAAAGTGATGGGGCAATCAGACAGATAGTTTATTCAAACAATAAAATTAAAGTTAATTTATTTGACATGTTTGGTTGCCGCATGATAAATTTTTTCTTGAAATGTAGAAAGTCGTGTTCCTTACTGACATGCTAATATTTAAGGAGGTGGTTCTTGGAACAAAATCATATGAATATATATGTCCTAAATGTCTTAACCTTCGATATACAGACTTTTTTCCGAAAACTTTACCGCCCTATTTCTCAAAGGTCAAGACGTTTAGGACATACGGTCATGTGAATTTTTTTCTTAAAAGGGGCCCACGACTCATTTTCTTAAATATAAGCATGCGATTAAGGAACTACCTGTATTTAAAAAAATGTTTCGATCGTGTTTTAATATTGACGAGTAGGTTAACGAAGGTTAATTCTGAAAAAGATTGTCACTTTATATATTTGCCCTAATGCTTTTGATCAAGGCTGCATCTAAAGTACTAATCGCAGTTTGACGATATGTGCATTATTTTGTACAATGACTTATAGAGATCTCCCTGTTGTGATGGAATTAATTATGTGTCTTAATGCAATCTTCTGTAGCTCTGTTTTGCATAGAAGCAAAATTTGTATTTTTATACATTAGAAATGTGAGTTTCCATGCTTGTTTATAGTATAAAAATTGTTTTCTTTATGGTTCGTTAAAAAAAGTTAATTTGCGCCTATTTTGTATATTATTACTGAAAACTGCTAGTTATTTATTTTAGATCTGTATGTTCCGCATCGGTACATTATTTTAAGCGTTGATTTCTTTTGTATGTGTAAATACAGTTTTTTTTTGTATGATGTAAGTTAGAGCAATATATTGTTTTGTAAAATGGTTCTTTTATTTTTGGAAAACGACATCCTCTTGCGCACCAAGTCAATGTTTTTTATAATATAAAAGACGCGGAAAAGTCGGGGAAGCAAAAGGTGGACAAGGATTGCTTGGAATTGCCGGGATTAAACAGTCTGAAAGAAAATCGAGTTTTTTCGCACAGATGATTTCAGGAGGTTAAAAAAATTCTCTGCCCGCCAAACTTGGGTCGAATACTGAACGGTATTCTAATACGAATCCTGAACACTTTATTATATCATATACTCAAAATTTGTATACAAAGACAAAAAGTGTTCGAATATCGCTGTTTTGAATACTTAAGTTATAAAAATATATAAAAATTAAAAATACTTGACTAGATTGAATAAAATGTAAAACAACATTTGATACACAGTGTCACAGCGAGGTTGGACAAATTAATTGTATAATAAAAAAAAATCTTTGATTTTTATTGTTTTTTTCATGGAAACTTAAAGAAAGAAACTGAGTAAGAAAATATATGAATCTTACACAAGGTACCTACAAAATTAAAAGACACACTTCCGTTTTTATACAGGGTGTAAAGTGGGAAAGTGCACATTCCAAATTTGAATTATGCGGCAACCGTGTACGCGATTAAGTCTTGATCGGCGTGCGGGTTAAATAATCGCAATGGAACGTTGGCCCGGAGCGTAATGTGTTTTAGCTATCGAGGCTTACTTTAAGAGTGGTGATTCATATGCAGCGGACCTTCGGAAATTTTGTACACGATACATTCGCTGATCAAGAGACGCCCCAAGTAAGAAGCTTTTGAAGAAGTGGATTAAGAGGTTCAGTGAAACAAGCTCTACCCTTAGTCAACCCACATCTACTGTATCAAGCGAAGAAAATGTGCGTCGAATAAGTGATTCGGTCATTGCAAATCCTTGGCGTTCTCTCGGCTGCTTTGGGAATCACTAGGTCAACACTCCATGGCATAATGAAGAAAAAAATGGGTCTTCATCCTTATAAAATCTAACCAGTCCATGCTTTAAAGGAAAGTGATTACGTATTACGGAAATCTTGTGCTGAACGAATACTAACGCCAACTATGACACAATAGCAGAATATATTTAGAAATCTACTCTGAAAAGAGTTCGAGCGTTTGGTTCCGTTACTGTCTCATAGATAACCCCTTTTTTGGTAACTCTCTAATGCGTACTTTATCGGGTATCTTCAGGCATTGATTATTAACGTAGGTATTCCTCTTGAAACAGGCATTCCTTCCTTTGGTGAAGCCGTCCGAAAGTTACATTTTGCTGTGTTCCGCCAGTGCGTTCAGTTCTTGTTGGCATTCTCAAATCAGTGCAGCTGTTACTCGAGGACCTAACACTGAGTGACGCCTGACCGACAAAATATATGGTGATTCGCCTATTATTGTACAAGAAATCATAAATAAAATAGGCATTCGAGTGACGCCGAAAAGGGATTGAAGATTCTAGCGCCATCTAATGGGACAGCAGCAAAATATAACATTCTTACGCTTGTTAAAATAGATTTTTGAACTCTGCCAGTGTCTCATAGATTGAGATAGGATCTTTCAGGTTCCTTCGGGTAGAATACGTTAAGCAAAAATCGACCACCTTAATATACATTTCATGTAACTGCGAAATTGTTTTTCCGAATTCTTCTGTCAGGTCTCTAGCACTCTTCTACAGCTATGCCGACAGGTTTTGCTCCTCAGACCTCTCCTCCATGATACCGCCGCGCGATGTGCCTGCCAGACAGAGCCTCCTGAACTCTGTACATCCAGAACTGGTCCATACGACCACTCCTTTATCCCTAAGGAAACGAGATTGTGTAACAATCTACCCGAGGAGGCTATTCCCAGTTCTTCTAATCTTGGGCAGTTCAAGAAAAAAAACGGATATCACAAAGCTGGTATTTAGGTTTATTCAGCTGTTTCGGTATAAAAAAGATGCTTGTTATTGATATATACATTTTTTGAGGACCAATCAGTCATGCCGCAATTGCAAATTGACCTTCAGAACGTTTCCATTGATGAACATAATTTGTAGTCATTCTGCAAATGAGTACTTCTAATCAAAGCATCATTATAAAACTGGAACGGACGAATTTGTGTGTTTCTGTTGAATCATTCCCGTAAAATCTCGAGCGCTGTGCGTGAACAATCTTTTGGCATATCTATTTTGTAATGATTAGATAATATTGACTTCGAGTACTAACGAAACCTTAGTACCAGTGCATATATTCTAGGGAGCTATACTGGACTACCTGAGCAATGACGAAATTGGGATTTTTCTTGGTGCTGTTTCTGTGTACCGCTGTTTTGGTAAGAGCTTTGTAAGATTGAACCAGCCCTTGCAAAAACAAATCACACAATTGGTTTTTTTTCCATTAAAATTGTGCCTTTGACAAATAAACCAGTACTTTTTGGGCTTAATATAGTATGTGGCTTCCGAAAGATTGAATTTCCGAATAACCTTCACAGCTCATTAATAATAATAACAATGATATATTTGTAAAAAGCCAGAAAAAGGGGCTTAGACTTACGTTGTTTTAGTAGTGTTAGTGGTATACAACGTAAACAAAAGAATCATATTAGTCTTATCTTTTATTGTTTATTATTGAAAATTACATTTAAATATTGATTTTTGACATGCCACATGATTTAATTTTGCATGTTTTAACATCCTTAAAAGACACAGGGGAAAACCTGGCAAAGTGAACAATTGGTGGGTTGATTTCGCGAGGTAATATTATATAGTACATACAGTATATACATATACATATATATTATCAGGTATCAAACATTGTTGACTAAAAAAAATGTATACCAAAAACCCAAATAGTGCACCAATGCTTCTGACAAAACCTACGTCTTTTTTATGCCATTGCAGTCCATGGAAAATTGTGCTAAAAGTTGTTTTGAAGGCATGGAAGGTATAGAGTCAATCTACTTGATGCCATTTTGTTTTTGAGAAAATTTATAAAAACGTATTTGATAAACGTTTTTGTTACCATTAAGATGCTTATTTTTCCGGTTTTATTATTTCCTTGTGTTTGTCATGTAGACGATTTTTGAAGAAATTGAGATTGCCATCTCAAACTAAATGGAATACTGTTTAGATTATACACTTCTAAGTTATATAGTTGAGTATATCCTAATGTCTCGTTAATGAGACAACGTGAACATTGTCAAACCAGAAAGTGAACACACTATCACAAAATTGTGGCTTGATAGCTTGACGCTGATTGGTCGACGGACGGATTCAGCGTAAGAGAGTGAATGGGCATCCCAATCAGATTCTATGTATTCATGAAAAGTGCCCAGGTGGTAAGCCCAAATTCTCAAGGCCAGCATACGTCTGTGAGGAGTCTGGCAACATAGCGTTCCATCTGGCATCAGTGGAGGCGCCGGGCTCGGAGGGGAGATAGGGGAACATGTGATCTGCCTTGAATACAAGTTTGAACCCGCTCGAGCCATTTGGCTGTCCGTAGCAATTTTTAATGTGTTCTAAAAATGATTGACATAAATTTCGAGCTACGTTCTGCAACAGAAACTCTTGCCTACGGAGAAAGTGTTTTGCCAAGTGCTCAGGTTTTTCGGTGGTTTAAGGCATTTTCAGAAGGTAGAGAGTCGATTGGAGATGAATCTCGAACCGTACGGCCATCATCTTCAAGAACCGATGGAAATATCAACAGATCGTCGGTTTACAGTCAGAGTCAGAACAAATGGGTGTTGCATCCCTATAATGCTCATTGTCACACATCAATGTCAATAAACGAGTTTTTGGCTAGTAAAAATATTCCTGTGGCTTCACAGACTCCTTATTGACTTGTGTCGTTGTGATTTTCTTCTCTTCTGGAAGTTGAAAAATCACCTCAAGGGAACTCATTTAGGGACAGTCGAAAACATTCAAACAGCTGTAACGTACCAGCTGATGTTGCGCACCACATTCACTTGAAGTCTCCGGCGTCTGTGCCGTTAAATGCTGCAAACCGTTTTTGTTTCTGGTACATGTTGGCGTGTTTTATTGAAGTGGAAACGTAGCTTGAGGGTTAAAAAATACAAGTATACCGTATACCTCACTGATATTACTATTTTCAAGTGTTTTTGTATGAACGGAAGCTCTCGACCGAAATATCTAATTTGCGATATATAATTTCAATTTGATCATTAACAGAAAAGTATATACCACAGATATGGAATTTGGGAATATACAAAGTGAGATAGAAAAAAGAACACCTACTAATAATTAATTCATTAAAAAAATTTTAGCTATATGTTTGTTTAGGTTAGAGTCATCTTTTCAACCATATAGATAAAATGGTTATTGTGATTTTTAAGTTAGGGATAGTTATGCTTTAGGCATTCGATCATTGTACACTACATTGTACAATGGCCATTAGGGTGCAAAGAAGCTCAAGTACGGTGGTGGTTTGTTGTCCGACGCAACCGCGGATCCAGTGCCTCTGACATAAAAATTAAAAACTTGACTGGCGGACGGATGGCAGATGACTACCCTACCCTTGTACCCTTAGGGTACAGTCCAAAAGTAATTAAAATATTAAATCTAATTTAAAAATTAACAATTTATTGTTGAATAACAAAATTTTTACTTCTTGTTGGTCTTTCTGCGAATCGATTAACATTAATACTTACCATCTCCTTCGAATCCCGAAACTTTTTTGTGGGTTTGTCCGTCACAGTGGCGGATTTAAGTATTGGAAAAATGGACATTGCCGCCTGGGCCCCCCAAGGAAGGGTGGTCACAGGGCCCCAAAAATTAGCTCTAGTGTCTATATTGTTCAGCGCTTCTGAATGTAAAATTGATAACAAGAAATCAGACTATTTTATTATTTTCTTTTAATGACCTTTTGCGTAATGTTTATGAAACAGCGCGTTAGCATTCAGTTTGAATAAGAAAATTTCCCTTTCATTTCTTAAGAAATTTTTTGAATAATGACTATTTAATTTCTAAAAAAATTACCGAATGACCCTTTTATTTTTCAAGGAGTGGGGGGTTATTTTTTCATTTTGTGCTTACAGTGATATATATAATTAGCCTCTTTTAGTCTAATACAGACTCTAATGCGTCTCTTACAGTCTTTTCACGTCTTCAATGCTTATAACCATAAACTTTCACAATACTGTGCGTTTTTTTATTTAATGACATATCTATTTTCTTCGTGATAATATCGTGGAAGAAATTTTTTGAATGTATTATCAATTGTATAGAAGATGAAATTTCAAGAGTGGGAGCTTCTGGCGAAGATATAATGAATGCAAGATCTCTCCTTTCCTCCATGAACTGGACCTTTTTTTTCAATTTGTTATGGTGGCACTCAGTATTGAGCGTAATGAATACCGTGCAAGCTCAAATGCAAAAGAAAGGAATAGACTTGATGATGGCTCAAAGGTGCATTTCAGCAGCATAAAAAAATTAAAAGATTTGAGGAGCGAAAGCACTTACGATAATTTTGTTCTGAAGGCTAAGAATAAATGGGAAGAGATGGAATGGGAAAATCCTGGTTATCCCACTGCCAGAAAGAGGCAAATCAAAAAAATTTTTGACGAAAAAGCTGCTGACTCGCCACTGGAAACACACGAAAAACATCGAATAAATTACTGCGAACTTTTGGATTCAATGAGTAACGAATTGAAAGAACGTACTGAAGGATTTCGTAATTCGTAATTTTACTAACGACAGGCCGCCAGATTATTTTAAGTTCATGATTGCAAACAATTTTGTAGACATTTTTCCAGAGAGCTGCAGTTTATTCAGATTGTTTTTGACTCTGCCTATCGGTTCTGCTTGTGCTAAACGTGTCATGAGCTCTTTGAAAATTATTAAAGAATACCGTCGAGCTTGTTTTTCTAAAGACACACTCAACAACTTCTCTAAACTCTATATCGAAAGTTCAGTAGCTAATACACTCAATTTGGATTCTGCGATGGAAGTTTTTGCTGAACGAAAAGTAAGACGCGGATTCGAATTAGGATAACTCTGTTATTTTGTATTGAATAAAAAATGTTTGATCTCACAGTCTCTACTTGATCCAGGTTATATAGACATTTAGTAAAAAAACAGAGGTAACAGTGCGCAGCAGCTACTATTATGCATATAATTTTAAGCCCCTGTTAATATGCGACATCATAATTGTCAGCAAACCTTGTAGTTCGAATTTTATCTGAACAATTTAGATGGATTTTACGTTATCGAAAAATTTTATATCCGCATGAATATTGAAACAGCTGAATTAGCTGATTAACTTTTTGCATCAAGTTACTGTTAAAAAACTTTTTGCACTATCTATGAGCTTGTTTCGGTCACTTGTGCAGGACTTTCTAATTTTTTTATTCTCAGTTGCCGTCATTAATATGCAAATAGCGATAAATGTGAATATTACTTTCGCAAATAGTGCCCAGTATATATCCTGTAGTAATGCACGTTATTTAACGTATTTTAGTGTTGTTCACCAAGTTTGTATTCAATGAAATATTAATCACATGACAACAACTATCGAATATACTTGTTTTTTTCTTAATTATAATTTACGCAAGTTCTATAAATAGCGTGCACTCCAAATTTGACTCGACGGTCTTTACTTATCGGTAGCATCCGTCATTACTTTTAAACTCTATTATGCACAAGAAGTTTGCTGGTGAATCATCAAGTTTAATTTACCTCAAAAAATTATTACGCATTACAACCTGTCCCGTGCCCGTGCGTACTATTAAATGCAAAAACTAGGCTAATGTATGATTGCACTAACATGACATTACGCATTAAGTTTTGTTATTAATTTCTGTGTTATCATGCAACTTTCAAAGTTTCCATTGCAGTATTTTATTTGTCAATAATTGCAGTAATTTATGTTATTCGCAAAACGGTTATAGTGCGCACTATTTGCCGTCTGTTCCGGATCATACCACTGGGCCCCTTCAGTGCATATTGCCGACCGGGTCCTTTTCCTTAAATCCGCCACTGGTCCATCAAAAAGTATTTTTTATCAAATTTGCTCACAGCTTAAGCGCGCGCGAAGTTTTTCCTACATCAAGCTGACCGCATAGGCAGCGCTATCATCTATGAGTTAAATCAAAGTTGACGATGAGTGATACAGTTTTTCGTGATGTAGATGTCATATGACTTAAAAAAAGATAACATCTCATTTTAGAAATTTTTTGCGATTACAATACTTCCTCGCCAATGACGTGGGAAGTAAAACGGCTTTAAAATCGAGGAGTATCAGCGATCGCGATTATGAGTACCTATTTGCAGAACGACTTATCTACGCTATATTATATGAAATAGGGCCACCAAATTATCTGAATACGTCCTTTCTAAGTCCGTACATTGCGCCGCAACGCTTGGTTTGGCAGTACGAAACAGCAGACAAAGTTCGTCCAAAATACGATTTGTAGAGGTTTGCGCGCTTCGAAATTGACGCTCTATTTCTGATATTTTTGGATTAAATTTTCACAAAGTGCTGAAAACAAAACCCCACAGGGTACTATAGAGTCACTTTTTCATTTTTTTCGTTAGGTTCTTTTCAAAAAAATCGCGAAGTTGAACAGAAAAAGTGCGCACTTCAACCCATCATAAACCTTGTGCAAAAACAAAATATCAAAAAGTGCTCCTACAGCACCCTGGGCAATTATCTTCTCAACATACTATATGAATTTCATTCAAAAATATTGAAAAATGGAGTGTCAGTTTCGAAGCAGCTGAACCCTTGTAAATGGCCTGAAACTCACTGCGTCGGAGCCTCCTTAAGTGGCCGTAGCTGCTTTCAGCGATGACTTTTCAGGTGGCACGTCATCTTACCGCTTGCGTACATATTCGTCTTTGCTACTGATAATAGAAGCGCAGGCGTACATATTCGTCAAAGTCACGTGAATTGGGTTACTTTAAATGAAATGCGTACATGTACGAAAAGCCACCATGGTTAGTACCTATTGTTTTTAAACAAGTAATGTACATAAAATTACTTGAAACTTATTTATTTAAAAACAAAATGCAGCCGACTACTACTACTATTTAGTAGAAAAAATTATTCTTTCGTATGTTACCTGTATATCCCAAAACAAGGTGCAGGACAGAGACCAGTACGACACTCTAGGCACCAATAACGACTCTCTTTTCGCTGCTTTCTTTCAGCACATACAACGCATCCGAAGTAAAGAAAAACGCAATAAGATAAACGTAGAGTGATAAGTTTTTGACTTTTTGTCGGTTTTGCTTCTGTTGTTGGTGGTATTATTGATCGAAAATGTCAATCAATCTTGTGGGCATTGGCGTTCTAGACGTTCTATTTTTCTGTATTTATCCACTATCTTCTCACCCAGCTCCAGTAAAAAGTTCAGTCTTTTTAGCTTTCCGCCATTCTTCTAACAAATTTGAAAGGCATTCAACGTAGTGACACTTAAAAAATGGAGAAACATCTTCATGCAGTATTTTTTAACTCTAGTACGAGCAATTCCATAAAAGTGGAGGTAATTGTCAGATAAATCAACACCACCCCTGCTGGCATTGTTATCGATTACGCAAGATGGCTTTTCAATGTCCCCACTCCTTGCTGCAATTTTCTTCATGCTGTCATTGTGGACTGTGCTTATCATAAGGACGTCTCTCTTGTCGCCCTATTTCTGAATCATGAGTTTTTTCTAAAACGCGCTACAATTTCTCCTCTCTGCAATTTTACTTTTAATTCCCGTGGTATTCCTTTTCTATTTATTCTCATTGTGCCAACGCTATCCGTCCTTCTTTTTACTAGTTTGTCGCACAGGTCTATGCTTGTATAAGAATTATCTAAAAACAGGCGGTATCCCTTATCTAAAAGAGGATGAATCAATGTCAACACTACCCTCGAAGTAAGTGGTTCATTTATTTACAAAGCATTGTATTCAGTATCTGTAAAGTTGTACATGTAATCATTGCGACTTTCACATAAGGCAAAAACTTGCATGCCAAATCGTTTCCTTTTCGAGGTACAGGTATGTACTGTTTCCAAGCAAGTCTGCCTTTCCATCCTGTCAAGGACTCATCTATGGCAATGTTTTGTTCTGGTATATAAGCTGACATATACTTTTTTTTTCATCAAATCCAAAACTGGTAAAACTTTTATCAGTTTTGAGGTTTTTGTATGTGAATTTATAGTAGAATTATCTACAAAGTTTAAAAACTTTAGCAACAAATGAAATCATAACTTTAGAGAAAAAAGGAGTCTCGATGCTCTCTCGTCGTGAAAAGTATATTTTGTACTGAGGCTTAGGACAGATGCTCTGTAGTATTAGCAACTCGATAAGGGTGCCTAATTTCATTACTATCAAACCATTTTTTAGCTCGGGAATTTGGCTTGAGGTTATCTCGATTCGAAGAAATACGAGGGATGTCTTTTAAGTTTTGCATATAGAAACATAGTACGCCGCGCGGATCGAACATCAGTACTGAATCTTAACCTCACTCTTTAGTAAACTTAAATTCAAAGTTTCACAACAATACGTGCAATATTCTTACTACAGCGAATTTTTAAGTGTCACCAAGTCATTAGCAAAATGGAACTCAACCGAGAACATTTTGTGCGCCATAATTTATTACAACTTTCAGAGACAATTATCGCAAAAGAATGCCTTGCTGAGTTACTGTCTGTTTTAGGCAACGAAGCACCATATCAGTCGACAATTTCCCGTTGATATGGAGAATTCAAACGTGGACGGGTGAGTCTTAGCGACGATCCCAGGGTGGCAGTCACCCAGGCAAACGTCGATGCTGTGCGCAAACTCATCATTGAAGATAGACATGTGACATATCGCGAGATTGAGGCGTCCCTAAAGATCTCAAAGACCTCAATTCAAAAAATTTTACACGAAGAATTAGGAGTAAGAAAATTAGTTTCTCGTTGGATACCCACCTGTTGACTGAAGAGCAGAAAGCAGCCAGGGTTAATTGGTGTGAAAAAACGCTTGACCGTTTCAATTCCGTAAACCCAAAAAATGTGTACAGCATTGATTAGAGGTGATGAATCGTGGATTTACTGTTATGAACCAGAAAATAAACGACAGTCGGCTGTTTGGGTGTTCCAAGGTGAATAAAAGCTAACAAAAGTAGTCCGTTCTCGAAAGCGTTTCGAAAAAGATGGTCGCGACATTTGTGTCAAATGCGGGTCATATTGCAACAATTCCTCTTAATGAGCAAAGAACTGTTACTGCGGATTGGTATACCACCATTTGTTTTCCAAAAGTCATCACCGAGCTACAAAAAATCAACCCCGTAAGAAGAATCATCCTCCACCAAGATAATGCAAGCTCGCACACAGTCCAAAAAACAAGGCAGTATTTAACGGAAGAAAACGTGGAATTATTGGACCATCCTCCATATAGTCCCGATCTAAGTCCTAACGATTTCTTTACTTTCCCGAAAATTAAAAACAGAATTCGTGGTTAAAGATTCCAGTCACCAGAAGAAGCAGTTGACGCATTCAAAAATGCCGTTTTGGATCTGCCAGCAAACGAGTGGAATAAGTGCTTCGAAAATTGGTTCGAGCGCATGCAGATGTGTATTAATCTTCTTGGAGAATACTTCGAAAAACAATAAAGTCATTTAAAACTACCTACCGTCTTGTTTTATTTCCATATGCAAAACTTAAAAGACATCCCTCGTATACTGCGATGCATATCTGTTTGTTTCTCTGATTATTATATCTATTAGATCATCATCTAAAAAATATTCAAAAATTCGCATTATATCCTTTAAATTGTTTACTTGCACACCACTGTTTGACGTAAAATGGAACGCTGGCCTTGGAATCCCGTTCTCTGTCCAGGGAATTTCAAAACTTGGATCATGATCAGGTTCTTGTTGACTTTCGGTATCACTCTCTTCAAAATCCTCGTTGAAATTAGAATCGTCATCTGATTCGTCAGAACTAGTGCACTGACTCTCATCATCACTGGAATCATCTGTAGTCATTTCAACATCAGAACTAGCCATTATCAAAAGTACTTTTAACGTTTGAACACAAACAAGCAGGAAACAGCCGGTATATAAAACCTCGCAATAATGACTGCTACCTTACACCGAAATCAAATGGCGGCAGACAGCAACTTTTGGTGTTTCCGGTATCACAAACACAAGTAATAATTGTTTCTTATTTCTTATAATATGTACGGTGGAATCATCACAGGCGAACGTATTCGTGATAGCCATGCACGGCCTCAATAAAATATTCTTGGCGTATATATCCGTCATAATCAACATGGATAAAAAATATGTTGGCGAATATATATGTCATTACCACTTCAGGGGTTAAGATAGATCATGACCTGAAATTTTTAGGCAGAAGATGTAACAGTGCAACTGCCAGTTGGTACGGTAAAGGGATTAGTAAAGTCTACCGCTAAAGGGGTAATATTCTACTCTTTCCAAGGAATACCGTATGCTGAGAAACCAGTCGGCGATTTGAGATTCCAGGTAAGCTCAGTATGAACCGTCTTTATTTTCGATCGGTCAATCTTATACAGCGCTGTTCAAAAAGGTCACCACTTCCGAATTATTTTTGGACGGGCCAGGTCAGCGAGCTGAAATGCAGGGTTATATTATATTTTAGCATAAATGTTCTAAAATGACTGAGTGCGCCATTACAGAACATTTTCTCTAAGTGGAATGAGAGGTCGTGTTGTGCCTAACTTTAAAGCTCCTTATAAGTAATTTGTAGACCTAGGATATAAAATAACTATCTTTTAAAATGGCGGACTGGCTTGCTGCCAAAGCTTGTCGTTTTTGTTGCGTTGCTCAGCAATTTTTCACACACTCAAGAACAGCATAATCCTACAGTGCATTTCAAAAATGTCCCCCACTTCTTTTTAGAACAAATCAAGCTAGAAAGCTGAAATTGCGGTCGATGAAATTCAAGCATGAATACTATGTTTTAGCGTCAAAGTGGAAGTTCCAGAATATAAAAACACTATCTTCCAAATTTGGCACTTTTCAAAGTTGAGCGTTTTTATATACTAAGAGACATATAAATCCGAACAGCCAGTTTAAATGGTTTTATTTTAATTTAATTTTATAAAAAGTGTTGAATGTATTTATCTTACTGTAAATAAAAAGTGAAAAAATTTTCAGCCTTATCAGTTGGACATTCCGGTTTTTATACTGCTTTTTTTTAATTCACTAACGTTCTAAAAATGAATATTTCAGCCGCAGTAAAGAATCAACGTTGGCGGATTTTGGTTCTTGACATCCTTTACGATCGGTTACGATGCCTAGAGTGCGGAGACCTGTACGATTTCGTCAACTTAGTGAGTTTGATAGGGGCCGTATAGTGGGACTTCGGGAAGCTGGACTTTCTTTTCGGGCAATTGCAGTTACAGTGCAAAGACGTGTAGACACTGTGGTTAGGTGTTGTCGGGCATGGCTTCGAGAAGGCCGTACGCAAAGAGCAAGGGCCACTGGACGCCGCCGTAGAACAACAGACCGTGAAGATCGCCGCCTAAGATTATTGGCCTTGAGGGTCCGTTTCTCCACTACCAGGTCCATTGCAAATGAATGGTTTGCAGAACACGGAAGACCTATTGGCATGCGAAGTGTTTACCGACGAATGAGAAGTTTTGGCTTGTTTTCATACCGGCCACACTGGGTCCTCCCTTTAACTCGAGAACACCGACGTAATCGCCTTGAGTGGTGCAGACAACGGTCACTCTGGGATCAGGAATGGAACAGTATTGTCTTTAGTGACGAGTCTCGATTTTGTTTAGGCATGCACGATGGTCGTGCCAGGGTTAGAAGGCGACGTGGTGAAAGGAGGAATCCACAGTTTTTTGTTGAAAGACATGTTCATCACACTGTTGGAGTTATGGTTTGGGGTGCTATAGCTTATGGTTCCAGGTCACCTTTAATCTTCATCAGAGGTAACATGAATGCGCAGCGTTATATCCACGAAGTTCTAGAACCTTATCTTGACACCCTGGCAGATCCAACTTTCCAACAAGATAATGCCCGACCACATGTTGCAAGAGTCACAATATACTTCTCTCAACATAATGATGTCACATTGTTACCATCGCCAGCAAGATCTCCCGACTTATCCCCAATTGAGCACGTGTGGGATATGATGGGTAGTAGATTGCTCAATTTGCAACGTCCTCCTCAGACTCTAGAAGCACTTCGAGAGGAGTTAGTGGTTGCCTGGAATGAGATACCACAGGAGGACATTGACCACCTGATCAGAAGCATGCCTAGGCGCGTTGGAGAATGCGTAGCACATCAGGGTGCGTCCACACATTATTAAAGGTCAGAGGGCTTTAAAGCAGTGCAATCATTTTGAAATTTTTATCATTTACTTATTATGCTTCATTAAGTACTTATACAAAATTTTATTAAAATAAAACCATTTAAACTGGGTGTTCGGATTTATATGTCACTTAGTATACATTGAATCGCTTATAGCTCAACAAATAATCGTCAAAACTTCATAGTATGTTATATCAATAATTTCCTTTTGTAAGGGTCTCTCTAAATGAGCAATAAAATATTCTGATTAATACAAATGGCCGATTTTACACTTTTTTAATAGAATGTTTCATATTTTATTACATATTTCAGTAGACGCCTCCAAGAGAAGAAGAGATTGATATAAAAAACTACGCTCGTTTTGACATCATGCCGATTCGCTATTTTTGGGGATGGTGGTTTTATATTCAAGGATTGACTTTTATTACTTTCATGCTAAAATATAATATCCATACATTAATCTATCCATCCTTCTAATTTGGTCCGTTCAAGAGATAAATAATAATAAAAAATCGTCTTTATTTAGGGGGTGAAGTTTAGCATAATGCTACTCTGCCACTTAACTCCTTAATTAGAGGGTTTCCTTTTTGAAAAGCACTGTAAGAAAGCTCAAAAATGAGTGACGTTGCTACGTGGAGCTTTTTTGATTCGCCTTTATGCACATCTGGTTTTTAGGCACCAAAGAAGAAATGGGAAGGAATCTGGGATGCGACGAAATTCGGCAACATATGCAATCAGATGAGTTATACGCCTCCCAATCAAAGTGAAGATTGCTTATTTGTGAATGTCTATACACCCAATGTGAGTAGCAGTCATTAAAATGGCGGAAAATCACTACTATGAGCAGACTAATATTTTTTTTCTTTTCACAATATTATACTGCTTATTACGCGGTAAAAGATAACTGATGTCGATTTAATATCTACAGTTTACTGACAATTTTCCAGTGATGTTTTTTATATATGGAGGGGGATTCGTCGCAGGTGCCTCTAACTCCTATGGTCCTGATTTCTTAATGGAGCAGGACGTTGTTCTGGTTACAATCAACTACAGAGTAGGACCTTATGGTAAGGACAATGACTCCAAAGAAGGGATTTCCGGACGCGGAACATGGTTTTCGCCCAAAAAATCCTTGGTGTAGGTCTTGACTAGGGAGGCACCGAGTAGTGATTTTTTCCAAAGCACCGAGTACCGGGTACTCTGCTCTGCGATATTTCAACTACTGTTAAGCCTGGATTTTCAATCGCAAGTTAACTGTAACTTCACTGTCAACCAACGTTTTTATGGTGCAAACAGTCATTCCAGGTTGCACTTTAGTACAACAGTGATGTACTATTTTTATTTGTAAAAATAATGCCACTAATCCCCTGTATATCCGCCACTGGTAAATCCACATACTAAAATGCGGGGTTGTGTATGATGTTTTATTTTTGGTCACGACTGGTGAATCACCCGGTATGTTTTTCACTGTAGAATTCAGCAGAGATTGAGTTGAAATTGAATATTTTGGCATCACATTTTTGGAATATTTATTTTTGATAAGCTTTTCAATTCCTCCTGGTAGGAAAGAAGCACATTTGTAAAATAGACAATACGAGGCCTCAAGGTACTCAATTTTCGAAAAATTTACGTTATCGAATCGCTGCCATATCTCGGCCGTCACGAACACTAACACTTATTTTTATAGGTTTCTGAACTGCCTTAAGGAAGAAGTTATAAAAAACGACAAATTAAAACTGCGTGATGTGGCGGAACCAATTCAGAGGTACTAAGCCTAAGATCCTTATACGAGATTTTCTTTGTAGAAATGCGGGATACTCGTTATTTAGACTACCATATTTTGTATTAAAAAGTATTGAGTATCTACACCTTGAGTATAAAAAATTTGCTACGCAATTACCGTAAATACACTAGCTAGCTTACTAGAGAAGACAGTCGGCATTTGCTAGAATAACAGTAAAATGATTTTAGCAAAAATATGTTGCAACCTTAGCTGTTTTTTATGTAAGATTAGAAAAAGACATATCAGCTCAGAGTTTGGACATCATAGCTGCAATTCTTAGATTCACACAACTTCTGTGTCTTGCGTTCAGACCAAGTGATTACTCGGCAGAGTAACTCAATACTCGGCGAAACTCTAGAAAATAGGCTACCGGGTACAAACCGAATACTCTGTGCATCCCTAGCCTTGAGCTCCCACATCACTTATTAGCATTTCGTCCAAAGCACTTCAGTTCGAGAGAAACTGACCAATTTAATAACGCTGCAAAATACTGGTTTTATCCACTCATGGCGTGGATTATATGCTTTATTTTAAGTTACATGCCTAATTGATGTTACATATTGTTTTTCATATATTTTTAATCATTCCTGTTTTGAGTTTTTTATACAGGAACTTTCAAAAAGTCCCTCGTTGGATCATGGTAGCAAACTCAACATTAGAGTGATAATTTTGACGTAAAAATAACGGCGGACTTTTGGAACCCCTTAGCAGTACCTTATAACCCTGGACAAAGCCTGGATAAGACCTATTATGTAACCATCGAAGAAAGACACCAAACCAAAACATATTCACGTATACTCCACGTGATCGCGCTCCAGAACGCCGAGCACGTTATAGGGCCGAACAGAGAATAAAAAGTTATTGCAGGCATGTATAGGGTCCAAACATAAGGTTGGGATTAATGTATTTGTTTAATTTAACTGTCATGACCATAAAGAAAACACTTGTCTATTGTTGCTTTTAGTAGAAGTGTTTCATCAAGAAATTATTCTCGAAATGTGTCGTAAGACGCATTTATAAAGCAGGTTTTTAAAAAATGTCTTGACACATTAAAACGATAATTGCATATGGATACAAGAATACCTAATCACCGCTTGAACATTGACGTCAGTGTGCAAACAGTTAATTTTAATATTAGACTAAAAAATGAATATCTAGGTGGAGTTGAAAGAAAAATGATTTGAATACATAATAATAGATACGATACGCTAACGCGAAAATGAAGCCATTTAGCTCTTTTTTTAGGTGGTGTGCAGCTAATATCAACAACTTCATCAGCTGTATCCGTATGCGACATTTTGAGTTCTACAAATATAAACTGACAAATCTAATAAGCACACTGTAATACCAGTATAAATCTGATGCCAACTTTGTACTGTATATATATAGGTGAAAAATTAAAGCTATATATATATATATAACTTAAGACGTGGTCATTGTCGTCTAGACCAGTTAGGTGAAAAATTAAAGCTTCCGCCTTTTGTTGGGTACTTCGACAAAATTTAAGCAAAGAGTACTCTTTATACTTTTTTTAATTCTCTCTAGCTTTCAATGGACTTTGCCATCATCATCAGGAGCTGCAATTACAATGATAACAGTAGCAACAAAGGTGTAAAATGAATTTAAATTGACTCAACTTACAGTAGTATGTGACGATGTTGCTAATTGTTGTTTACGTATAGGATGAGGGAAACGTCCAGTAACATGGTGAGAGCTGGATACATGGTACAATGGTCAAAATTATATAAAATATGACAAGACAAGTTAAAAACAGATCAAAAATTATTTAAAAAACATTAGAGCATTACGTCGTGAAGCCACTTGATGATTGCACAAAATGGTGGTCATGGAATAATGAGTGAGATGAACCTTTGACAGAAGGCCGAAGGTTGTCAATGTCTGTGTTGAAAGATGGAACGAATTGTGGGCGTGTGCCAAACGTTGCCAAATCACTTCAGATGATGTGATTTTCAGAATGTTATGTAAGAAATTGTTAAACCGACCAGAGGCAGTTGAATAAACTATATTTTAATTAATGGGAATTGGAGAACTTACATGTCTCCCCAAATTTCGACTTTTCACATATATATATATATACTATAGCATTTACAGCCGGCAACTGGGGCCAGACTGCATGCACGGTCTCCCACTCCATTCTCCGGTTTAGCCATTGGTTCTGTGTAAGGGGTCGAGCTATTCTGCCCAATAACAGTTATCTCTCTTGAAATATATCAGTGTACTGATCACGCAATAATCACGCGATGATCACTGTTTTGGTTTGGTCTCTTTCTTCGACGCATACATAATAGCCTCGAGTATTGCTCACATCTTTGGGGTAGTGCAGTCCCGACTACATTATCTATGTTCGATGTTGTTGAGAGGAGGGCTGATCAATGACTCTTCTCTAACGGGCGTTTTTTAGTATTACTTAGTCAGGTCAGTTATATTCTAAAACGTGAAAAAGGTTATATGAAAAATGAGATGTAGGGTTGCCCTAGAACTCATTAAAGTAAACCAGATACGCAACGCCATGACTTCAAAAACTGTATTTTGAGCGTAATTAAATCACAATGACGTTCTTCATTCTCCCACATCTGAAAAACTAAAGCTCATCGGACGAAATACTGTTGAGGCATCAATTGAGAGGTTATTACCTATACACAAGACTTTTCTAGATAAAATCCGTGTTCCGGTCCTGCAGACCTTTCCCTGGACTAAAAATAAATGTTTTTATTATTTTAATTAAGCACCAGATGTGCAGACTTTTTTCCAATATTACGTCTGGCAGAAGCTCCCCCAGATAGTCATGTTTTTTTTTGCATAATGCGATGAGGCAGATTAGGTTCAATTTTGCTTATTCTGTGACGTAAATTTTTTTCGAATCAGCGATATTCTTCGGAATGTAAAAGTAAAATTTATCAATCAGGAGCTTAAAGATGGATAGTTGACTGGAGCTGACGAAATGCCAGCTGAGCTGTTGAAAAAAGCCGGTATACCTCTGATATCTGTAAGAACATGTGGTTTGTGGTTATTTTTTATTGGTCATCACTTAAACTCAGACATTTAACAACAAAAATAACTTTCAGGTTTCCTTTCGACTGGAGATGATTTGGTACCTGGAAACGCTGGATTGAAAGATCAGAATTTGGCCTTAAAGTGGGCCAATCCATCATTTTGGTGGTGATCCAACCAAAATTACAATTTTTGGTCAGAGTGCTGGCTCTGCTTCTTGTGCTTATCAGATTATGAGTCCGTTATCTAAAGGTACAACGATATGGGATAAGTTAAGTTTTGTACCAGTGAAGTTATAGGGCATATTGAGAAAACGACCGGGTTGTGAAACCGACCATTCTACATAGATAGTACTGACATAAAGAAGAAAAAACAATATTCTTGAAATTTCTGTTATTTGTTGTCTCATAACATACGAGGGTGGTCCCAGAAGTACCCGGCCTGACCTAGAGATGGCGATAGTTGTTTGAAAAATATCATTGTATTAGAAAGTATGCAACCTATAAAGCATATGTGTCAAGTTTGAAGACGCCACGTTGTTTAGTATTTATTTGGCAGCCATTAATACTGAACGTTTTCAGTGAATTTGTAAAAATGGAGAAAATTGGTAATCGTTATGTGGTACAATACTTTTATTTCAAAGGCCTCAGCCCAACCAATATAAAAGCTGAACTGGATTTTACTCTGGGCGAGTCTGCTCCTTCGTTTACAACAGTAAAATATTGGGTAGCAGAGTTCAAACGAGGCCGTATGAGCTGCCAAGACGAGCATCGCAGTGGGTCCACCAAATGAGGTGACGACTCCAGAAATGGTGAAGAAAATTCACAAAGCGGTACTGGATGATCGTCGACTGAAAGTGCGCGAGCTAGCAGACATAGTAGGCATTTCAAAAAGTGCGGTTCATTGCATATTATCTGAAAAATTGGACATGAGAAAGCTGTGTGCAAGATGGGTGCCGCGATTGCTCACAATCCGTGAAGATGTGTCAATTGAGTGTTTAGCGAAGTTTCACAGCAACAAAGAGGAATTTTTGCGTCGTTTCATAACCATGGATGAAACATGGGTCCATCACTTCACACCCGAGACAAAAGAACAATCAAAACAATGGACTCAAAAGGGACAACCGGCTCCAAAGAAGGCGAAGACCGTTTCATCTGCAGGCAAGGTTATGGCGTCGGTTTTTTGGGATGCGCGTGGGATAATTTTCATTGACTATTATTAACTTATTACAACGTTTGAGCGATAAAATCAAGCAAAAACGGCCGCATGTGGTTAAGAAGAAAGTGTTGTTTAATCAAGACAATGCACCAGCTCACAAATCCGTTATTGCAATGGCCAAAATTAACGAATTGAAGTTTGAATTGCTACCTCATGCACCCTATTCACCAGATTTAGCCCCCTCGGATTATTTTCTGTTTCCAAACTTGAAAAAATGGCTCAGTGGTCAAAGATTTTCTGACGATGAAGAAGTGATGTCGGCAGTTAATGGCTATTTTGAGGAGCCTGATATCTTATTATAAAAAGGGTATCGAACTTATTGAACATCGCTGGGAAAAGTGTATAGAGCTCAAAGGAGATTATGTTGAAAAATAAATACATTTTTTTATAAAAATTTTGTGTTTTCTTCGTTGAGACGGATACTTCTGGGACCACCCTGATTGCTGAAACATTCCTCTATTATCGCTTTTTTATTAACATTTTAGGTTTGTTCAGAAGCGCAATCTTGCTCAGTGGGACATCGCTAAGTCCATGGGCGTACCAAAGGAACTACCAGTTATATTCGAGGGAATTGATCAGAAATATAGATCCTGCAAACTACCATAAATATAATACTTCTCAAACTATTTACGAGTTTCTCAAAAACATACCAACAGAGATAAGTAATGATGCTTGCTTGGCGATAGTAACAACGGTAGGCTAAAGAGACTTACAAATAAGATTAGAAAAAGATAGTATAATCCAACGAAATTTTAACATCATAATAACTAATTGAGGCCTCACACGGTAGAGCCCATAGAGAGCAATTTACGCATTTATGTAATCATTATTGAATTTATCCAATTATGAAGCTTGGAAATATTCATCAATTTTTGTTTTGTTTAAGGTTGTTATAACGTGAGATCAGAGCTTTGTCCCTCAGTCTTCTCAAAAGTAAAAGTTTGTTGTAGGATGTACCATTCTCTTCAGCCCATTGTAAACCTAGCTCAAAAGCGTTAATTGCGTCTTGTGCTGTGACTTGTGGAGCAGATGCAATCACGTCGTCGTTACTTTCCTGATTGTTTGTTGTATAATTAGAAACCTCTTTTATAATTTCTTCGTCAGCATTTCATGAAAAACATTTTCCTCTTTATCCATTCCACGGCACCAGATTTCCAAATCTTCCGGACTTATCTGTGTTTCAGTAGCGACTTGTTCTATAACTTCCGAAGTTACACTGATTTGTGGAACGTTGCTTGGAGTGGTGACTATATCTGGCCAAAACTTTTTCCAAGACGATTTAATAGTTGATGACGGTAACGCATTCCACGACTGACAAAGAGCAAAAACCAAGTCTTAATATTAGATTCTTTTAATGTTTTTTCTATTGGTTGGTCTTTTGATACGGCTCTCAGAAGTAGGTTTTTCTTATAGTCTTGCTTGACAAACTGAGTGATATTCTGGTCCATTGGTTGAATCAGTGCAGTGCAATTTGGCGGAAGAAACATCGCAGTGATGCATTTATCCTCAGATGTTAGTTCTTCTTCAGACGGATGACCGGGAGCGTTATTAAGAAGCAACAATGCTTTTTGAGGAAAATTATGATATCTTAACCATTTTCTAACTTCAGGTACGAAGCATTCATCAAACCACTTTTTGGAAAGGTCTTTTGTCGTCCATACACTTTTTTGTCCGTAATAGTGTACAGGTAAATCAATGTTTTTGAATGCCCGTGGTTTATTAGATTTCCCAATGACCATCATCTTAAGCGCGTGTGTGCCCGCAGCTTTAGCACATGGTAGTATGGTTACACGCTCTTTACGTACTTTTCGTCCAGGTACGGATTTTTTGTTACAAAAAACGAAAGTTTTGTTATGCATCACACGCCAAAAAAGCTCTGATTCGTCTGCATTGTACACCTGTGACGGGTCAAGACTTAAATCGTTCACCTTTTGCAAAAATCTTAATTTAAAGGGCTCTATGCAGGTGGCATCGTTTGAAAGTTTCTCTTCTGTAATAGCCATTAAACGTATGCCATGACGACTTTTAAAACGTTCTAGCCATCATTTGCTGGCCATAAAATCATCTTTTTTTGTTATTTTCTTATAAAAAAACTTAGCTTTCATGGCCAACATGGGTCCTGAAATTGGTGCATGCCTATTTCTTTCCTGGAGAAACCACATGTACAAAACTTCTTCCACTTCTGGATGTTCAGCTGTCTCTTGCCTGGCCCACAGTCAGTAGTTGACACGAATTTCTTGATCTTCCCGTGGTTTCTTTTAATGTCATAAATTGTAGATCGGCCTACTCCGTATTCACTTGCTAAACTACTGAAAGTTTCATTGCGATTTAAGCGGTCTAAAATATCACATTTTTCTTTAATTGTCAATGTTTTGTACTTTCGCTTCTGAGTTTGTGATGACATTACTAGGTACACTATACTTAATACACAATGAATAAATAGTAAACAATGAACGCACGCTAGGCCGTACCGCTATCACATGTAGTCAAATTCAAACTAAGTAAAACAATGCTTACGCGTCGAGCACGATAGCGGTGGCGCGTACAAGTTGTAACCTGTTCAAACCTGCGCGATCCTCATTAGCGAAGATTGTCAAATATGTATGTATGTAACATTCAAAGACATGTCGGATGACAAGGGGCGCCGGATTAGACAGGGGCCGGATTATCGGGGGTCCACTGTAATGAAAAGGTAGAGATTATGTTTCTTGGAACTGTTCAGGTGGAGGGTTCAGTCCAATCTCACTCAATCTTCTTAGGAGAAATGAGAGGCTTCTTGGTAAATATCAGGCGATTTTTAGATCACTTCGTTGAGTTTTACTTTTTTGTCATTGAAACAACACTCATTTTATCGAAATCAAGCAAGGATAATTTATTCAGAATGGATATATTATCTTTCAGCCGTTATTATACAGGGTGCTATAAATTAGCAATATTGCGCTGTAGCTAGGACGTCCCTGTCGAACTGAATGTGATAATTGCTTTATATTTTTTATTTATCATATGGTACGTTATCCGCCTACTATGATGTAAAAATTTTGTTAGTAGAGTATACGATGTGGTTTAAAATTTGGGGGTGGTGTGAAACGAAGCGCCAGATAATATCGTCTTAGAATAACTGCAAGAATTGCAACATGACCTGACCCGGTTCAGGTGTATAAAGTACAACTTAGTCACCATACGCATATGCTTATTATCTTCCAGAATCCTAAAAGCTATCTACAGTTGTACCAAGGATTTTTCTTTGCGCCGGTATACGAGCACGAGCACGATGGTGCTTTTTTGACCAAACAGGCATACGAAGCTATGGAAGAGGGAGATTTCAATAAAGTACCAGTATTACTCGGTGCTACTAGCGAGGAAGACTATTTCCTCATGGAAGGTAAGTCAGGTAGTATACAGGAAACCAAACAAGCTACTTTGTCCCACCGACCCAAGAGATCCAACCATTGATAGTTGTTTCGTGCTGTTTGGCAACTCATCAGCATGGTATAGGCTTTGTCTCTGCGACAGCGAGAAAAATGATAGCCACTATTCTCTATCGAAGACAGTATCTTTGGTCGGTAGCATGATGCTTAATATTGTTCAATAGTTATTAGATCACATGTATTATGCCGCCAGAATCGTCAGCCTCTAGCGGTTATAATGGTGACTGTGCCATCAAACAATATATATATATATATACTCTCGCAGTGGTCGATTCTGGTAACAGATGGCGCTCTGCGCTGAATTATTTCGATAGTATACAGGGTTCTCCAACGATCTCCAAAAAAACTATAAATTTCGAAAACAAGTTGTTTCTATGGATGTTATATGACATGTACAGCTGTGTATGATCAAGGAAATCCCATAGATATAATATATCTTGTTTACGAAAGAGCTTTTGATAAAGTTCCGCATAAACATTTGATGTACAAAAATTGAGCATTTTGATGCACGAGGTAAGCTTTAAGATTGGATAGAGGCATTTCTTACTGACAAGTAAGTCAAATTATTCCAAGAAAAAACAAACGAACTGTCAACTAAAATTCAGATAAATAAGATGTATTGTCATTGTACTAAATAAGATCACCTTTGTGATTGAAACGTTTACAGCGAAGAAGATTCTGTCAATACATGTTGTTTTGTTGGAAAGGCAACTATACACATAAACCACAGGATAAGTGTTACACTAATAGATATATGTTACATTAATGCATGACACAGAGTGCTACAAAATTCAGTAAGGGTAGTACCGTCAGTCAGTCCCACATTTGTAGGACAGCTTTATGGCCTCCTCAATCTTCATAGCTTTCTACTGTTCCGTGTCAGCACTCTATTTTGAGGTTATGTCACAAATATCTACTTGCAGCAAATTGTTCATGTTTTTGATTTGTTATATCAGCCTCAAATTTCCTACAGTTCAAAAAGAGAACAATAGTCTCACAATAGGAGAGCACTGACGCTGACACGGACAGTAGAAACCTAGAAATGCCCCAGCCTTTCTGAAGGAGAGAAGAGACTATGGAAATCAAGGAGACCATAAAGGCGTCCTACAATTGTAGGAACGACTGACGATACGGCCTTCAATAACTGCTTCTAACGTTTGTAGGTGTTCAATTATATATGACAGAAAGGATGAACCAACCATTATCCAGTTCTTCGACTTTCCACAATAAACAGCACTGCATTAGCCTGCTAAGATTACGGTAGTTATTTATGGATAGGTGGCAGCGTTGCGTGTGAAGTGCAGAGTTAACCTACTTTGCCATTTTTCTATTAGCAAACTTCGCATATGCAGCTTTGTACTGCACTCTTATGATTTTGGCGACAAATACCATTATTTTAGAAACAACATTCTCGTTACAGATAAAGAAGGTCTCGGTTACATATCTGAAATATTCACACAAAGTCGTGATTCAATACCAGATGATATGCATGTCACTGAGGAGAATAAGGATACCATCAAAGCTGAATTGATGAACTTTTATACTTCCGGAGGAAACTATGTGGACAACCCTAGGAAACTTGTCACGGTACGTATAATCAGATGTGACTCAATATTTAATCCACTCTGAGCACAATGCAAAAATTGACCAAAAAGTGCTGCAAACTGTTAAGCGTTGTTCTCACGGCAACCCGACTTCAACACAATTACGCATCTGCCACACAACCAGCAGTCTGGCCGAAAATAATTGCATAACGTACTTAACAAATATTTGTAAAATCTAGCCAGTTGAAACTTTTGAACAATGAAAAGGAAAAGTGTAATACGAAGAATAGTCGGATATATTCTAGAGGATGATTCATTGTTAAAACATATGAAAAAACTTCCTATAAACATGTTTTCAAGATACGGGAAAAATATTTGCTCCATTCTGTCAAAATTTGCCAATATTATTTGTTGTAATACAAGACACATTTTTCAATATTGGTTTTCCGAGGCAGTTGTGATTTTTTTAGCAAAAATTAATAAACCAATTTTGTCCAGTAACATGCAATAAACCGGTTTTTATTTTTTTCTCGGAAAATGCTTAATCAAACAACCAATATTAAAATTACAAAAAGGCAGTGGCGTACATTTTTTTGCCAATAATATTCGCCAAGTGCCACGCCTTCTTTTGGTTAATTAATAAAACACAATGACGGTTGGTCCAAGCAAAACAGTTGTCTGGTGGCGTGCAAATTCAGGCCCTAGCTCAATAAAGCGGAGAGTAGGGGAGTTAAGAGCGCCAGTGACTTAGGACGGATTAAGCCACAACTCCCCTAGATGTTAGTTGGAACACACAAAAGGAGAGTCTAACAGAGATGACGAAATAAATCAAGATATCAAATGAATCACAATATATTGATTAATAAAAAAAAGCACATGTGCACCACTACTGAAGTGCGAGTAATAAAAAAAATAAAGGATGTTATAAATCTTAAATACAACCTGACAAAATTATTTTTCGAGATAACCCCGCAAAACGTCTACCGTAGTATACGCCCGAAGTATTTACAGATATTTTGCGCCTAAATATTCAACTTATCTGTAGGTCTTCTTTGTCAGGCGCGGCCGAGACGTCCTCAACTCTGGTCAAAATGTGGCCAGTAGTGGGCACGTCACTGGGCAGGGGCTGCTTGCCTCGTTGCCAAACATTATGGTAGTAAAAAAAACCCTAGAGAGAGGAAGACTGCTTAAAAATATACTCTACTCTCTGTCTGAGATAAAACTACTCATTGAAAACAATCGCACTTGAAGTAAAACTATGTACATTTTTTTTGGACAAGAAAAGTAAAGTAAAGGCAAAAAAGATAAAAATGTACTGAACTAATATACCCTTGTTCTATGGTTATGGCAGCTCAAAAATCAAAATCATGATCAATGCAATAGCAGGTGCTACGTAGGCACTGCCCCCATATTTGAATACGTAGAATGTCCAATAAAATCAAGAAGTCTCTAAGAATTTCAATAAGCAATAATAAATGTATAAAGATCTATGAAATTATAAATTAGAATGACATTTTATCTGTTCACATCAGGTTTTTTTCCAAGGGGATGGCTTCCACCAATTGGCAAAACTGCAACAAGATGCAACCAACTGGAGGAGAAAGGATGATGATTATCTTCTGTTTCTATTGACTAAAAGAAAGCAGATATTGAATGAACGTCATCAGGACACGCACTTAGGCACGTGGTCCGAAGGTATATAAAAAGAACTTACCACTGAGGGTCAAAATCCCATAAAAGAATGGAAGACGTAGCACCCAAACCAAAATGACTAAACTTAAGTTACACAAAAAAAGGGTCCTAGTCCATGAATTGGCGCTTGGGGCCTAATATCCCAGAGTCTGGAAAATGACTAAACGACCCCTGCACCACGACCTCAACGGAAACAGCACATGTAACGTCCTAGAAAAAGGTATCTTGAGTGGCCTTGAAGAAGATCTTGTATGTTTTATAGGAAACCAACTAACGGAGAAAAACTACAGTTTTTTGCTGATCGTCAACACCATACTGAATCGCTGAGAAAGAAAGATATAATAGTGAAATATACAATCAATAAACTATTAAATTTGTCAAAAGAAAATCAGTGAAGAGGGTTTGGCCTAGGAATGGGCACTCTATTATCAATGAAGAGAAATTCAAACTACGGATAAGTGATAAATAGTAAAAAAGGTTACCTGATTTTGGCCCGTGACACAAGATGCCCTCGGGACGTCACTGGTTCTAATAATTTTATCTACTTAAGACTAAATCAGCCTCTTCATACAATAAATACTATCGCCAAATTTCAACAGAATCGAATTAATATTTTTTACGATATCAATTAAAAAAAAATAACAAGGAATCACACTCTCCGTCTATTTTTCGAATACCCTGCATAGTATTTAGTGTAACTAAATTACATCTTCACGAAACTATTTCAACTCTGCCAGATGTTACTAAAATTCATACAATTCGAAGATGGAATGGAAAGTCCTTGGCCTGACATGACATAGAAATTCCAATGAGTTCAAGACATCTTGAGAAGGGTCTACAGGGTGGATACCGCATTTGTTGAATGCTGATCAAAACCGGATGTGCAAGCGCCTTTCCCAGCAATGTTTGGACCAGTTCAATATGAATCTGACCGATTTTATATGGCGATTAGTTACCACTAAACGGCAGAAACAACAATTATGGGGAACTGCTATTCCAACACTCTTGATCAACTGTCAACCAGTCTTCCACTTCGGAGAAGGAATCCTTATGTCGGAAACGTTGGATCAAGTGTGTTCGAGTCGAAGGGAATTCTGTAAAAAAATCTAATCATTTTTCAACTGAAAATCATCGCAGTCTGTCATTGTCAGGCCGAGAAATGTTCAACCTACTTTTGTGATGCAACTGCAATATTATCTTTGATACAACTACAAGAAGTTTTGTATTTCCAAGAAACGAATAAATGTACGTAATTCACCATCGAATAGACATTTATTAAGTTTTTCTTGTTGGCTTCTGAATCTTAATCCGTCAAGTTATCTAATTTCCTGTGATTCAATGAAATCTGTGATCAGTGATATGTATGACTGTATTATTACTTTTCATGTGAAAGCTCACTTAATTCGGTGATTATTTTCAGCTTATGAGTGATCATGATTTTGTAAAATCTGTGCTAAAGTTCGCTGAGCAGTTGGTGAAACACTCGCAAAACCCATACCTCTACCAGTTCTCTTACAAAGGTGTCTTGGGTTTTCACAGAAATCAGTCAGGTAATCTTATCAAAGCCAAGTATATAAACTATAGCTAAGTTTACAATTTCACTATGTGCTGGTACTCCATAGATCATAGGAAAATAAAATTCAACAACTCAAAACTAGGATGCAAAGCATCAAAACAAAGTATGCCTCAAATCTTATTTTTGTTTAATAGTGAATTGAGTTTTTTCTCAGATAATGAGCCGTATTCATAAAAGAGAAGCATATCCTCGGAAGCATAAGGTATAAGCATATCCTTGTTTTCATATTCATAATGATTACCTTATACTTGCGAGGTTATCCTCCAAGAAGAAGTAAAAGGTTGACTGGTATTTGTATCTTGAGCGATATGTCCTGACTTGTTTCAGCTTGTGGTTGGCGTGGGAGTTCGCTCATTCAGCATCACTGACAGTTGTACCCCAGAGCTTACACAGACCGTTCCGTATTTTCACTGGATACAGTTTTTTATCAAATTAATAAGCATGTCATCCTCAAGTTATGAGGCAACTATAGAAAATAATGGCAACGACCTGCAGTTCATCGCAGATGAAATTGCCATTGCTCCCATTATTTTCCAAAAGTCACAAGTGCCAAAAATAAAAATGAGAAAGGACGATGCCTAGAAGAAGATGTTGGAAAAATAGGAATCAACATTCGGTAAACCATTAGATACTAAAGGCTTATTAAAAAAAATCAACAACATGAAATCAAGATTGAAAAAATAACAGATCTAAAAAAAAACTGGTAATAAAGCAATTAAATTGTTAGATTGGGAAAAAAGTTGCTGATAGCTATGGAAGGTGACTGTAATCCTACAATTGGGAAAATTAGAGGTGCCATTCAGGTTGGTAGTGTTCAAGAAGAAGGAAGTGAACTATATACCGAGCGCAGTGAGCAAACAGTTGGTATTACAGCGCAAGCAATGCAGAAGAGATTGCCACCAAAAAAAAAATTAGTACCAGAGAAATACGAAACTGAGGAAACCAAAGGGTTAACTACAAAAGAACTGCAACGTCTAGTGCTGTTACAGCAATACCAAATAAGCATTTTACAACAAGAGTATTATAAAACGAAATAAGAAATGATGCAGCGTCAGAAGCCACCTGTATCTTATGACGTTCACGAAAATAAAACTTATTATAACTTATAAATACAGTTTAATCAGTAAAACTATTTATTATTTGTTGACCTAGTTGGCGGAGAGGAAGTTCGTCATTCTCATGATTTCCTTCATCTTCGTCTGGGTCTTGTTTAACTAAATCAAAGTCAGGATCGCCCAAGCTCGTCGCAACATTATGGAGTACAATACAAACAATAATTATTGTCGGAACATTTTCCAATTTTACGCGGCGAATATACTGTAGGATAGGAAACCGGCGTTTCAGTTGGCCGAGACAGCATTCAATTATAACTCTTTCTTGTTTTAAATTGAACAACAAAACACCACCATAGCTGCACTGAGTGGTCAGTTATTATTTTTGAAGCAGTTCCTCACACCTAACAAGTCTTATGCTGCAGCAACTGAATCATCAGGTAGAACAGAATCAGTCCAGTCAAACGCGGCTACCGCGGCTATACTGGCATCGTCGTCAACATTGAATACTGTAACAACAGCGATACCACCAGTTTCAATTTCAGAGACGATGCACAGGGCGATCTTACTTTCGACAAACAGCTTATAAGCAAAACGCTAGTCGCAGAAGCTATACATAACGCTAAGTCTAACAGTGTTTGCAAGACTTTAATAAATTTGAATAATGATTTTGATAAAGAAACTAATGTAGATGATGGCAAACGTAAGCCCAAAAATTTACTAATAGGTAGTATGTCTGGTTTACAAAAGTGTCCCTTAAAGGCTGCTACAGCGAAATCTATCAGACACTATCATGTAACGCGCCTTGATCCACAAATAGACGAAAAGGTTCTCTCGGATTATTTGAAAGCAGTTGCTCCAAATGTAAAGGTCGAGAGGTTGACAGCCAGATATCCCGAGAGGTACTCATCTTTCAAGGTATCTGTTCCAGTCGACGAAGCTTCCACCATTATGGATAGTAACATCTGGCCTACAGGTGTTCTGTTGAACCGATTTTTTCGAGCCAGAAATACCAAAGGAGATTTCAAGAGATCAGAGCGTGGTGCAGATAGCCGGCGTTCAAGAGAACTGTGAGATGTCCTCTCATTCTGCAGATAAGGACTGTTCTACTACATATGGTCTCTCAATAATGCATTTGAACATCCAAGGCTTATCTAGCAAAGTAGATGAGCTGTGTTTGTGGTTGAGTGAATGTTCCTTTGATATAATTTGCTTATCGGAACATTGGCTGAACAATGATAAATTGTATTCGATTAATTTTAATAGTTACTTTGTTATTTCTTCCTACTGTAGGCCTGCCAATGCGCATGGTGGCGTTGCAATTTTGGTTAACAGTCATTCAGATTTCAAAGATATTGATCTCAGCAGCTTTTGTATACCATTTCATGCAGAGTTTTGTGGAATTGCAGCCCCATCTAAAAATATGGCTGTGATCACCACATACAGGTCATCCTCTTGTGGTGATATAGCCATATTCAAAGACAAACTAGTTTTTATGATTCATTATTTGTATCCTAGATACAAAAATCTAATCATACTCGGTGATTTTAACATAGACCTTACCAGCTGCTCGCATCTTGCTGCTGACGTTATTAAAGCCTTTTCATCATATGGCCTCTCACATTGTATTAGCGAACCTACGCGTATTACTTCTTCCACCAGCTCCTGTCTGGATAACATACTGACGAATATTGATATTGAGAGCCGTATTACCGGTGTTCTTGATCTAAACCTTTCTGACCATTGTGGAATTTACATGTCCATTCGATCAATCAAGCAAGCCCATTGTAGTAGCTCTTTTAAGATAAGAAACGTTACTAGCAAGGGGCTATCGTTATTCGCCAGCAAGCCTCACGATTTTGACTGGTCTTTTCCTGAGAGTAATACGCGTACTGCTGCTAATCTAGCAAATTCAATACTCAATGCTCTAAATTTAGGAATTGATGCTTGTTTTCCTTTGCGGAAAATTGATAATACGAATAATGGTTTGAGATGGTTCACAAAGAGGCTCAAATATATGCGCAAGCAATTATTTAGATACAAGGAAATTTTTAGATCAATAAGGTTAGAGCAAGATTGGCTAGCCTTTAGGAACTGCCGCTATGAATATAAACGAGCAATTAAACTGGAAAAAAGGAGCTTCTATTCCAAAAGAATACTGACAACTAATAATAAAAACAAGACAGTTTGGCAAATAGTTAATTCAGAACGTAATCGATTAAAGTCCAATCATATAGAATCCACTGTATCTTCAGATAGCTTCAATAGATATTTTTCCACAGTTTCAAAGAATATAGTATGCTCAATTGACAATGAAAGTGTTGCCCCACTTACATTGCTGAACAAGGTCGGAAAACAATCTATGTCTTTCTTTATTGCTCCAATTGTAGAGTCTGATGTTGCCGAAGCTATTCTCAAGCTTAGCAACTCTCCTTGCTTGGACTACTACAGTTTGAATAGCTCAGTGCTTAAAAGAGCTATTGAATCTCTTGTTGAACCACTTTCAATTCTTTACAATAAGTGCATTTCTGAAGGGGTTTGGCCTGACTCGCTCAAGATTTCAAAGATTCTTCTTCTTCATAAATCGGGTGATGCGAATGACCCATGTAATTATCGGCCAATAGCCATTGTGCCCATCATAGGGAAAGCTTTTGAAATCCTGCTAAAGGACAAGCTATTATCATATTTCGAAAGAAATTCATTACTATCCACATGCCAATATGGATTTCGGAAGAGAAGCTCCACAATCAAAGAGCTGCTTGATTTAGTGGAATATGTTGTTGATGGTCTGGATAATGGTCTTAAAACCTTTACTACTGTGTGCGATCTTACTAAAGCCTTTGATTGTGTCAATACTAGTATATTGCTTCTAAAACTGGAGTACTACGGTGTACGAGGTAATGAATTAAATCTGTTCCGATCATACTTGACTAACCGGAAACAATATGTTAGTTGCAATGGTTACGACTCTACTCTGCTCCCTATTGATAACGGAGTTCCTCAGGGCTCGGTGTTAGGTCCCCTTTTATTCTTGGCCTACATAAATGATCTGCCGGCGTCAATAGATCACAGTTTGTGTTTTATGTTCGCAGACGACACGACGTTATCAACAAGGGATCAGCAGGAGTTAAGCGTTGATGGCTTGGAACAGGCAAAGAAGTGGTTCTCGGTGAACAAACTGAAGCTAAATGACGCCAAAACATCTTCTATCGTTTTCAGCTCTGACAAGTGTCAACCTGCATCTGATCCTGTCAAACTCCTAGGAGTTAAGCTGGATACGGCACTTACTTGGTCACCGCACATTGATCTCGTCTGTTATCCACGCAAATCTTTGCAATTCGACGGATGAGTGAATATTTGGATAAACGTATTCTAAAAACAGTTTACTTCAGCCTAATCCACAGTCAGTTGTCGTACGGTGCCCTCCTTTGGGGGAACGCTTCTGGATCTTTCAAAGCGTTCACACTCCAAAAGGCAGCTGTTCGCATAATTGATGGTTCGAAATACGGCACACCATGCCAACCACTTTTTAGAAAACATCGAATTTTACCACTACCAAGCATTTTTATATATGAAACGCTTTTACATATTCATAAAAACCTCCATAAATATGTAACGCATTCCGATGTTCATGATCATGATACCAGGTCAGCAAATAACATCAGAGTTCCCTTTTCTAGATTACGTTTATCCAAGTTGAACAAGCCGGATGTCACAATATACAATTTATTTGTGAACTGTTACGCAGAACATGATGTGAAAAATATGAATGTCTACAAATTCAATAGACTATTGAAGAACTTTCTCATAGACAAGTGTTTTTACAGTGTCGATGATTATATTAATTATGTAACTATATTTAAAATACAAAAATCTGTGACTTCAAATGTACAGTAATGTATGTAATGTTGTCAATAAACTAAACTAAACTAAAACTAAACTAATATTATAATTATTATAATGATTATTATTTTTATTATTATTATAATTATAATAATGATACTATTATAATTGTTATTATTATTATTATAATTATTATTATTACTATTATAATTATTATTGTTATCATTATAATTATTCTTCTTATTATTATTATTATTATTTTTATTATTATAATTATAATTATTATTATTATCATTATTATTATTATTATTATTATAATTATTATTATTGAAGAATAAATATAATAATTATAATGATAATAATAATAATAATAATAATAATAATAATAATTATAATATTAATAATAATAGTTATAATAATAATAATAATTATTATTATGATATATAATATAATATATAATTATAATTATCATTATTATTATTACAATAATAATTACTATTATTATTATATAAAACAAAAATCTGTGACTTCAAATGTACAATAATGTATGTAATGTAGTCAATAAACTAAAATAACTAAACTAAACTAAACTAATTATTATGATTATTCTTATTATTATTATTATAATTATTGTTATTATCATTATAATTTTATTATAATTATTCTTATTATTATTATTAATATTATATTATTAAAGTAATTATAATAATAATAATAAGAATAATAATTATAATAATTATAATAATACTAATAATAATAATAATTATTATTATAATAATAATAATTAATATTATAATAATAATAATTATAATAGTAATTTTAATAATAATAATAATAATAATAATAATAATAATAATTATAATTAAAATATTAATAATAATAATAATAATAATAATAGTAATTATAATAATAATAATAATAATAATTATAATAATAATAAGAATAATTTTCCCCCCG